TTTTTTTTTTCAAAAACTCACCGCACGTAGTTTCAATTCGGCCTCCCTAAAGTATTTGTAAAACGGTAGATTGTACTCTTCTTGATCCCATACCATTTGTTCTAAAGCTACTGCGAATGTTTGCAGAAATTTATACGCTTTCAATAACGTTTCGTCCATCTGCATTATGAAAAACAAAAGAAGAAAAACAATAACAATTAAATTATTATCATATTGTGTCTCGAGCGTTTTTCTTAAAAAGTTTTTTTTTTTTTTTTTTTTTTTTGTTAAATCACAATATAAATAAAATAATCATCGGATGCGAGAAAAACTTACGCTTAAACCTTTCAAATATTCGATATCCAATTGTTCCCCTAATCGTTTAGGTATTTCCGGAAAATTGGGCAACCACTCGTATTTACTTTCCTTCCACTGCGAGTGAAAATTCTCAAAATTGGATTTGAAACACTCTTGGACCTGCAAAATTATCAACACAAATATTTTTTATTACAACAAATAAATAATCATTAAATATTAAAACGATTAGTATATACAACATTTGCTATACAATTCTCCTCCTTGTTTGTCTAAATCATTATTCAACATACTTTTCCTAACTTTTATGTGAAAAATAAAAAAACACGCATATGCATATCAGTTGAACGTTTGGTTAACGTTTAGTCAGCGATTACTTCGATAACCCTCGTTCCTGGTATTGGAAAACACGAAGATGAGAGAAGAAGAAGTGAAGGGGGAAGGGGTGGGTGTGTATGGGGAGCCTGATGGGGGCTGGTGGGAAAGGACACGTGAATGAGTAAGCCAACCTCTCATATATAATTAAACACGAACAAAATTGTTTTCTGACTTTTTGGGGAAATTACTGTGCCGATGCACGCAAATACCCAGACTATTAGGTTCCTTTAAACAGAAATTACTAGGAAAAACTAGGCGCCGGGTTAAGACACGTTGTCAATTGTCCCAACACGGAAGAGTGGATTATGAATCATTCGTTGAGTTAACTAGTCAGCTTGGTAAAAAAAAAAATTATATATATAAGGATGAGAAGAGGGGGAGAGGTGAGGAGGAGGAAGAGGATGAGGAGGGCATGGAAACCCTCGGATTTGATGGAATAATGCGAGAGATAGGAAAAACGTTCTGCGAATTGTTAACGTTAGCGCCGTTCGTTCGTAGGATCGTTTAGAAATCATAAGTGCATCAAAGTGCACATCAAACCATCAAGGTCGTTTTCCTTTAATAATGCGATACATTAGCGTACGTTGTATTAATATTCAACGAAATTCGAGGATAACAAACACGTTAACGTGAATTGGCACGATTCGATATAATATTCATGAACCTAAATTACAACAACGTGAGATAATATTGATTAGCAACTAAGTAATTAATGTCTTGTTCAATGAAATAACAGAGTTTTCTTTTTTTACTTTAATCTATGATGTATTTTCAATTTTGTTCGATGACCTTTTGCTCATTTCTCTGACAACTACGATGATGGTTTTGATTTCATCCTAATTAAGCTCAACTGGTCGACCTAAACGTTGATCATTTTTTAGAGAAAAATCTTCAGAACGGAACTTTTTCAAACCAATTTCGGCATTGCCTTTCTTTATCCAGTTAAGTGTGTTTGACGACTATATCCGTCATGGAAGAATGGCAGAATTTTGTGTTTTGACGGCTATATCCGTCATGCGTAATATTTTGATACAATTTGTTATTTAAATTGTAATTCTGGCGAAAACTAAATTATATTCGTAAATATTAATATGTTTAGAATGTTTAGGGGTAAGGACGAAATGAAATAAACAAATAAAAATTATAGATAAT